ACTATGTAAAATTGCAGCTCCTCAGATGACCTTTGTTAAATTTCTGAAGGGCCGAGGAGGCCCTCCGTTGCAGCCAGATGCATTTTGAACCTGAGTTATGAGTTCATTCATAAGCCACGGTTGGTGGTCATCTATTTGTGTTCTGTGAAACCACAAAGTTCAACTCCAGCTCTTCAGTTATGATCTTTTCATGTTATTTTAGAATGTGGGACATATGCTGTGCACTGTTCTTTTCTGAGTGAACGTGACCCTGCCATTTCTGTTGCCTAATTTTCCTGCAACCCCTGGCCTTTCCTCATATTTAACACTCTAGTCTTCTCCTTTACGTCCCTGTGGCCCCTTCCAAGGCCCTGCCTTTGTCTCCTTTACTCTTTGTGGTGCTATACAGATTGACGCATTTATATGACTTTTCCGGATCAAGTTTTCCTTAGCTCTGTCCTTCACGGATGGGAGATGGGAGGGCAAAAGAATTGAATTTCCTTATTTCAGGGTATTAAACTGAATGTATATTTAACAATTTTGTAAACTGTAAAGTGATATGTAATTGTAAACTACTGTTAATTTTATCTAATAATTACATAATTTCCAACAGTTAACCTGTCTACTTTTTGGAGTAAAAAAAAAAAAAAACTTCTTAGCACTTTAATCAGCCTAATAGCACAACATGCTGTTGGACTGAATTTTTTTCTCTGTCATCTCTGCACATATACAGGACGTGCATGCACACTCACACCTGATGGGTTCAAATGCACACAAGAAGCCCTCCTATTCAACTTGCTTTGGTGACCAAGTCAGCAGCATCTTTTTAGTAATTTTTAAAAAATTTTTTAAATCTTTTTTTTGAGAGAGAGACAGTACAAGCAGGGGAGGAACAGAGAGACAGGGAGGCACAGAATCTGAAGCAGGCTCCAGGCTCCGAGCTGTCAGCACAGAGCCTGACGCGAGGTTTGAACCCACGAACCATGAGATCATGACCTGAGCTGAAGTCGGCCACTTAACTGATTGAGCCACCCAGGTGCCCCAGTAATTATTTTTTACAAAAATTAGGAGATGCTTTTCATTTTTGTGGGCTCGGCAAACTTCACCTGAAGTTTAAGATTTTACACTTAATTAGCTTAATGTTTGGTGTTGTAGAATAAGGACATTATAATTCAGTCCCTGACTTAGCAACCCCACTATCAAGTTCTTTTTCCCATGGCAGTAGCTCCGAGTTGTATTTGCAGCAGACATCAAAACTTTGTTCCTTTTGGATAAGTGCTTCTACTATAAAGTAGTAAATATACAAAGTATGAACAGCTGAGCTATAAAAAAGTAAAAAATCAGACTTTTCATTACCAAATCTAAAAAGAAGCATATTCTATTGACAACGAGTGGATTACTGGCTTGAGGGTCACCAAAGGGGAGTCATTTGTGACTTAGTTCAGGAGACCAGGAAAGTGGTCTGGATTCCATTTCACACAGAGGCAGTGTGGGCAGGTGCCTTTTTAGATAACATCATTGGAAACATGCTTATCAAAATTCTGGTTGTTGATAAGTTGATAAATCAGGAAGTGTTTGACACATACCTTTTACTTTTTGAAGTTGATGTCATGAGGACAAAAATGATTTTCTATAGAATGTCTTTTACTGCCAGTCTACTATTTATTGAGGAGTCAACGTGTTACGAGGTACTGTACATATCTCATTTAATTCACCATAACCCTGTAAAGTAGTTATTATTCTATTTTATACGTGAGGAAACTGAGGCTCAGAAAAGTCAAGTGATCCACTCAAGGTCACAGCTAGGCTTAGGACTCAGATCTGACTCTGACACTTAGGCTCTTTTTCACTATTTTACCCCTTAGAACAGTTAGTCCAACCTTATATAGAGTGCTTGTGTGTGTGTGTGTGTGTGTGTGTGTGTGTGTGTGTGTGTGTATGTTTAATGTTTATTTATATTGAGAGGTAGAGAGAGAGAGAGCCTGAGCTGGGGAGGGGCAAAGAGAGGGAGAGAGAGAATCCCAAGCAGGTTCTGCACTGATAGTGCAGAGCCCGATGCAGGGCTCGAACTCACAAACTGTGAGATCTTGACCTGAGCCGAAATCAAGAGTTGGAGTGTAACTGCCTGAGCCACCCAGGCGCCCATATAGTGTTTTTTATATTCTTATGGCTCTAATACCCTGATGACAATTAGAAGTAGCCATGAAAAATTGTACAGAAGTGCATAAGGCTGTACAGTTTGGGAACAGAAAGAGCATGCATTCAAAAGAAAACTGTGTTAGGGGTACATTCCACTAAAATAGGTATCTATGCAAGAACAATACTGCTAAGGAGAGATTTTATTTGTGTATTTATTAAGGACCAAGAAGAAAGGCATAAAGCTTCCATGTGGCAAAAATCTTAGCATAACTGGTTCAGGCAACAAACCAAATAATGAGGTAAATTTTAAATGTTATTTATTTATCCAAGGTTCTGTTTAAATTCAAGTTAGTTAACATATAGTGTAGTACTGGATTCAGTTAAATGTTATTTTTAAAGACCAAATTAAGTTAAAAATAAATCTAATTGGAGAACTGTAAAGGTTTAAATAGAATTAATCAAAAGACTTTAATAAAATAATTTTAGATAGGAAAAATTTAAAGTAAATGCATATTTTTGAAAGCATAGAGTTTTGACTTTAAAATTTAGGATAAAGGCATTCAGATCAATGACAAGAAAACCTGCCTTCATGCTTCCTGTGACCTTTAAAATGGTAGATTTGGAAAGAATGTAAATTGTGAAATCAGACTTGGGTTTATCTTCCCAACTGTGATATATTGAACAAATTATTTAAACTGATAATGTTTATCTTCATCTATAAAACATGAAAAATAACGTATGCCTTTCTGGGTTTGTGCCAGGGATTAAATTAGATTAAATTACGTGTGTAAGTACCTGGCTAATAGTTACTTAAATGCTTTTTTGGAAAGGACTGCAAGTGATATGAGATATAGACCAGATTTTTATATATTTTTTTATTTAACGTTTATTTATTATTGAGAGACAGAGAGAGACAGAGCATGAGCAGGGGAGGGGCAGAGAGAGGAGGAGATGCAGAATCCAAAGCAGGCTCCAGGCTCTGAGCAGTCGGGACAGAGCCCGACGCGGGCTCGAACTCATAAACCGTGAGATCATGATCTGAGCCGAAGTCAGATGCTTAACCGACTGAGCCATCCAGGTGCCCCATAGACCAGATTTTTAAATACAAACAAATTTCAGGAGTGTGTTTGAATTAGTTCTTGATAGGGGAATTTCCTCAAATTGAATATTGCTCATACTGTTGCCAAGGAGTTAGGATTTTTATTATAAGGAGAGTTTTATTTCTTTGACATTAAGTGATCTTTTTAGTTTCCTTTTAATTGGAACATCCACGACTCCAAATCTGTTGGATCTTGGCTCTCCATGTATTATTCTCATAACTTTCTCTGTTATTTTTATTGTTTTCACCCTTTACTCCATCGTCAACGTGTTGGTCCTCTGTTCTCTTTCTGTACGAATTTTGGAGGAAGGGTTTCATTCATAGTCATTGTTTTTTTACTAGTAGATTATGTAAAAGCCAGGCTCTGAAATAAGACTGGCTTTGAGCCCTAGCTTCACCTGTCATTGTGACCTTGGGCAAGTTACTTAACCTCTCAGTCTTCATTTTTTTAGTTGGGAAATGGGTATGACAATAGTTTCTACTTTGTAAAGGTAGGATGAGTATTAAGTTAGTGAAAATTTGTAAAGTTCTTTGTGTGGTACTTTGCACCTACGAAATGAGCAGTAAACCTTAGCTTAATATTTTAATGATACTGATGATACAGGTGACTTTAAGTCTATTTCAAACCCTGTTCTCTCATCTAAACTGTGGTCTTGTATTTCTAATTGCCCAGCAGGCATTTTCTTTTATACCTGACTGCATTACATTGGACACAGTCTAAAATCAAATCCTTCTGGGGTCCCTGGGTGGCTCAGTCAGTTAAGTATCTGACTTTGGCTGAGGTTGTGATCTCACGGTTTGTGAGTTCAAGCCCTTCATCGGGCTGTCTGCTGTCAGTGCAGAACCCTCTTCAGATCTTCTGCCCACTTCCCCACCCCTCCCCCATTCATGCTCATGCTCTCTCTCAAAAATAAATAAACATTAAAAAAAAATTTAAAAATCAGGGGTGCCTGGGTGGCTCAGTTGGTTAAGCATCTGACTTTGGCTCAGGTCATGATCTCAGGTTCGTGCGTTCGAGCCCTGTGTTGGGCTCTGTGCTGACAGCTCAGAGCCTGGACTGTGGTTTGGATTCTGTGTCTCCCTCTCTCTCTGCCCCTCCCCTGCTCACACTCTGTCTCTCTCTCTCAAAAATAAACATTAAACACATTTTTTTTTTTAAATAAATAAAATCAAACCCTTTTTTCCACATTGTTGTGTGTAGGTGACGTAGGTGTATAGAGTAAATAACCAAAATTTGCTTCAGTTATCAAATACTTAGAAACACCTTAGTTAATACTGAGTTAAAGTTGCAAATTATGTTTTCAGAATTCTGAGCAAAATATTTGCTGCTTCATGCCACACTTTTTAATTTGAAAAATTATTTCATTTGGTATGGAGGACCTTAACTAAATAAGCATCCAAAAGGGGAATAGACTATTAATGCTCAGCAGGAATTCAGAAACATAGTAAAGCCTTTCTTGTCTCTGTTCTCATCTGCCTGCTCATAGGCTCTCACATGGAATCTCAAGAGGACAGCTGTTGGTTTGTAATATTTTCCAGGCCCAGTGCCCTTTTAGAAACACTGATTACCTGTTACATGTTAACACTAGGACACAAAATTGGCATTCAATAAGTAGCTTTTAAGTAAATGAGTCAAAAGAAATGCAAGATAGAAGATATATTGTCACTGCTAATGAGAGTTTATAAATAAAGTAGGGATGATAATTCCTGAAACCAATTAAATAAAAGTCCATAAACTACATTTTATAGTGACATGTCAGGATAAGAGAACAATAACAAATTGTGTAGATATTCAGTAAGTGGAGAGGAAGGCTTTTGGATTTGAGGGGCTTGAGCTAGACCACCTCGTATGTGTGCCACAAGAAGCTTTCTGGGCTGAACATGTATAAAAACTGCCCCTTTAGTACTATAATAGTTCTGCCCCTCAGGATCAGACTGCTTCTTGCTTTTACTTTGAAAGAGATTAGATCCTAGCAATTCATTATATAAGCCAGAAAAAGACCGTTTTTATGTGGAAGTGCACTTTTATTGCACTTTCTTCTTTATACCGCATTATAGTTTGTATCTGTCTCTAGGTACTTTGCTTATAGGAGACACCCCATAGATGTTTGTCGAATAAACAAGAGTGTAAGCTCCTAACGGATAAGAATGTGTTATTTTTTTGTTTCCTCATGTGCCCTGAAGCAAATTGAGATTGGTTCTTAGAGCATTTATTCAGTCTTCACTGATTCTGTTGCTGCAGTTTAGCACACCACATAATAGGTGCTTGAGTATTCACTTTCTTCCAGTCCAGCAGAGTTATATTTTGATGACTTCCCTTTTGACCAGGTCTCATATTTGTAGACCAGGTCTAATACAAAGTTTGATCTATAGGCAACAGCTAAAGAGTGAAAATGATCACTTCTGTGAAAACACATAAACACCCTTGCACAGATTCCCTTGTCTGAGTACTATTTAAATGAAAACCTCTCCCAAAGTCATCAACTTGCCCTGTAATACACCCGTTTCTGGAGCACCAATAGGAGATCCTTGTAGAGGATCTTTGCCCTTCTCACTCTCCAGGCCTTCCCTACTGTCTTCTGAGAATTTACTTTCTCTCCATTAGCCATTAGTTAAGAGAAAAAGTGGCTGGTGTAGTATCTGGGGATAAATTGCCACATCCCATTTCCTTCTCTATGAGCAGGATTTCCATTTCCCAAGCCTGATGGGATCTCCCAGCTGGAACAAGATCTACAGGTCTTTGATCTGGAAACTAAGAATAGAGAAGTCTTAAGAGATGACTGCTCAGGTGAGTAAGGTAGAATCAATCAGATGGAATTAGTAGGGAAATAAGAGTCCAGTTGTGGAGCCAAGTTGTAGCCGCTTGGCAATCAGAATGAAGAGCTCGGCCTGTATACCAGATGGAGAGAGCTCCTTCCTTTTCCCTTCAGTTTTGATGACTTCTTTGCATTTATTTTATCCCTTGTCATCCACAAGTTGTACTGGGTCCCTACTCAAGTTGCTTATCTATAATTCTTTTTGAACTATTTCCCTGCTATCTCCTTTGAAACACCTTAATTGACTACCTTCTTGCTCTGCTGAAAACCCTGTTTGCACCATACCCTGAACCATTTGGATACTACATCACTGCTCTTAGTCATGCCCTTATATCTGCTGTTGAGATTCTGTACCAGTACTTCTGAGTAAATAAAGTTCTCTCATTTTAGTAGATTTTAGATTAGTTTTCTCACCTCTGAGGGTTTTTTTTTGTTGTTGTTGTTGTTTGTTTGTTTTCCCCTAAGCATAGGGTACAGATTACATTTGCATTTTCTATTTATATATTGAATCAGATGGAGAGACCAGAGAAGAGAACAAGCTGTTGATTCCTAAGCAGGAAATTTTGGAAGAAGTACATTCATACAAAGTGAGAGTAGGAAGACTCAAAAAGGATATTGCCCAAGTTCCTGGGACTAGAGAAATGTCTAAACCTGAGGACAGATTAGAAAGGCTTCAGGAAATCCTAAGGAAATTTCTCTTCCTGGAGAGAGAGTTTAGGCAAATAACAATCAGCAAGAAAACCTTCACCAGTGAGAACAATGAATGTAATGAACCTGAAAAAAGCTTCAGTCTGGACTCTACCCTTGATACAGATCAGAGAGTTCTTAGAATACAGAATATTGATGACATTGATAAGTATGATATGGGCGTAAACCAGAATTCAGCTGCTGGTAAACATGAACAAATAAATCTAATACAGGATGTTCAGAGTAGTGAATATAAGGAAAGCTTAATGGATCTCTCCCACCTTAGTAAATGTGAGAGCATTTCTGCCACTGAGAAATCCTATAAATGTGATACATGTGAGAAAGTCTTCCATCAGAGCTCTGCCCTTTCTAGACATCAGAGAATTCATACCAGAGAGAAACCCTACAAATGTAAAGAATGTGAAAAATCTTTCAGTCAGAGTTCAAGTCTTAGTCGACATAAAAGAATACACACTAGAGAAAAGCCCTATAAATGTGAACCATCTGATAAATCCTGTGAAGCATCTGATAAATCCTGTAGTCAGAGCTCAGACATAACTCCACATAAGAGGATTCACACTAGAGCAAAATCTTATAAGTGTAGTAATTGTGAAAGGGTCTTCAGTCGTAGTATACATCTTACTCAACATCAGAAAATTCACAGAGAGATGCCCTGTAAGTGTACTATATGTGGCAGTGACTTCTATAATACCTCATACCTTGTTGAACATCAGAAAGTCCACTGTGAAGAGAAAGCCTATGAATACAATGATTGTGTGTTGACCTTTGTTAAACATCAAGGAAGTCATCTCAGAGAAAAGCCCTATACGTGTAATGAATGTGGAAAAGACTTCAGATTGAGTTCCCATCTTATTCAGCATCAAAGAATTCACACAGGAGAGAAACCACACAAATGTAATGAATGTGGAAAAGCTTTCAGTCAAACTTCATGCCTTATTCAGCATCACAAAATTCATGGGAAAGAGAAATCCTATGAGTGTAATGATTATGAGGAAAGTTTCAATCATAGCTCAGATCTTGTTCTTCAACAAGAAGTCCTCTCTAGAGAAAAGGCCTTTGATTGTGATGCATGGGAAAAGAACCTCAGTCAGAGAGCACACCTTGTTCAGCATCCAAGAATTCATACCAAAGAGAAACCTTATGAATGTGATGAACGTGGGAAGACCTTCAGTCAAATTCAGGCCTCCTTCAATATCTGAGAGTTCATACCAGGGAGAAATCATATATGTGGTGAAGCCTTCAGTCACAGCTCAACCTTTATTCATCAGAGAATCCACACCAGAGAGAAACTGTCTGAATGTGATGAATGTAGGAAAACTTCATCAACATCTGCAAACCCATACCAATGAGAAAACCTACCAATATATTGAATGTGGTAAATGCTTCATGCTGTTTTCATACCTTAGTCACCATTGGAGAATTCATACTGGAATAAAATTCTGCCACTGTAATGAATGTGAAATAGCCTTCAAAGAAACTACCTTGTTCAGCATCAAATTCATTCCATGCAGAAAGCCTATGAATGTAATAAACATATGCACATGGGAAAATTCAGTCATATTCTACCCCTCATTCAACATCATTCCATACCCAGGAGAAGCTATTCGAGTGTAGTAAATATGACAAATCTTTCAGTGAGAGTTCAAGTTTTTTTTTGTTTTTTTTTTTTATCCTTAGAAAGTCCAGACTAGAATCTAATCTAATGCAAATGGAAAAATTTACCATATTTCAGGCTTTAACTCCACATCAAAATACTGGAGTGAAAATTTTATATAAAATTTTAATATATAGCCCTGATCTTTTTCATTGCAGAAGAATATAGTCTGAGAAGTGACTTGGTGAATGCAGTGCTGTTTCCTCATGGCATTCTTTTATTTAATAGGTGGTGTACGTAGATATATAAACTTTATTTATGGAACTCATTTAAGCTATTTTTAAAAATATGGCCTATAAATAATTTTATTTTTCCTCAAATTGGTTCCTGTTATAGCTTCTCTAAGATATTGTTAATACACCAATGTACAAACATACTAACTTCTGGAAAGTAGCTCGTTTAGCTTTTTCTGCTGTCCTCAGCCCAAGATTTTTTCAAAACAGACTCTTAGGTCTGCTGTTTCCTGAGCATCCTACTTCCTATTCCTTTCCAGCCACAACACTTGGATTCCTGTTGATTTCTCCATTCTCTTAGCACCTTCAAATGATGGTTTTCTAGTGTTAAGCTTTTCACCAGCAGGTATACCGTCCCTACTTGATGTTGCTGTCTTTCCTAAAGTTGAAGCATCTTCCTTTAAAAAGAGTTGGATTTCCACGTCCTGTCCATCCAAGAGTTTGAAGGATTCTATCTCCCATGTATTTGGGGCAGGCAGCTAATAAATACTTTCAAATGACACCCACATTCTTAGCTGCCTTGTGTGCATCCACGGCCCTCTAATAAGAGATAAGAACATCAGGGAGCCAACAACACGCCTGGTGGTCTAGCTGCATTCATTCAGCGCCTAATCTGCATGGTGAAGTTTAGAACTATCTTACATACTTCTGTTGAAGGACAGCAAAATGCTCAGGTCTGCTTTTGATAGAGCAAAATATAAAGAACCTATACAAAAAAGTCTGAGAACTTCATAAGGGAATGCAACTTTTCAAAAAAGATATTGCTGCTCTTAGGTAATATCTCTAGAGAGAGTATTTCAAGAGAGTGTCAGGTCTGTTCCTGGTAAAATTTTAATTACTACGCTTGCTTCTTTATCTGTTTGAATTTTTGCCCCCCAGTCTCCCTCATCAATGCAAGACAGTATTTGAAGTGTGGGAGCTTTGTGTATAATTGTTTATTCATCATCACGTTTTCTGTATTATACCAGAGTCCACAGACCATATAAAAGAACTTGGGTTTTTTGATCACAGATGTCGGGATGTCCAGAGTTCAGGGTCACTGTTAACACTTCGCCAAGAATTCATGATTCTTCAGGTGATGTCAAAGCATTTTATTATATTTTGTTGTATGTTTCCATCTTAAGCTTCATAACATTTTGTGAATTAGACAAGTGTTATTTAACATTCTTTTTGTCATTCCAGCAAGTGAGGCCTTTGTGATTCAGATGTTACAATATTCACTAGAGATCCTCAACAAATATATAAAAATCTATTGCTTATTCTATTAGCCTCTTATGGCTAACCTCTAGGATAGTTCTACGACTATATTTTGCCGCTTAGCCATCAGCAAGCATAGGATCTTATCAGGGCAAAGTAGAGAACTAAATGAATTGATTTAAATGTAAAAGCAAATGAAAATGCATGTTACTTTCCTTGTCTATGAATGTGTATCCCTTTATGTACAGAGACCAGTGGTCACTTCTGTTAATTATGAAACAGATTAATCCCTAAATAGCAGAATATGTAAAAAATCACATGTATGCAATTGGTTTAGGAATGTGCTTTTGTACTTCCACTGGAATAAAGGTGTGTTTGATACTCAGAATCTGTTTCAAAAATATCTAAAGGCCTCAGCCAGAAGCATTTGAAAATCTTGGAGTCACCTTCCTGGCTGCAACTCACTTCCTTCCAGAAACCTGCTTCACAACAAGAGTGGATCACTCTCCTTCATACTGATACAAAGCTTGCTCTTCCACAGACTTCTGGAACAAAGTCTGAATGTTTAGGGTCTTAAAGGTTTTTCGATTGGGATGTTCTTGGCACATAAATAGATTGAGGTTTCAGAGAGCTAGGCAGAATAAGTAAAACGTTAAAAAAATGAGAAACCAAAATAATCCTCAAGGAGAATTAACTTGTCTCTTTAAGCTTGCAATATTTAATCAGTCCAGTATGAGTTTGTGTTCTTATTCTTTTAATCTTGAAGACTGGGGAAGGAAGAGACAAAATCTAATAGTTAAGGTACATCTAATTTTATCTGTCTTCCATCTGTCCACCTACCTACATGTATGTGTATGTGCATTCATATTCCAACTTAACTGTCACAACAACTCTGCAAGGGAACTAGCTCTGTATTCCAGAGGAACTGAGGTATAGAGAGGTTGAAGAACCTGCTAGGGTCAGTCAGCAAATTAATGGCTCAAAGGCCTGACTCCCAAGCTTCCCATCATCATGATGTTGGTATTAGACATCCCAGAACCTGGAGAAGTTTTCTTTGGTAGCTTTTCATTCCCTGTTACATCCTCAGTGATTGACTATTATCAGTTTGCAGTTGATCCTGAATGCTCCCAGAGCTGTCTGGGATACTAGGAGACAGTACCTTTGGGGAGCTAGTCAGAGACCCTGCTCCCTGAAACAGGCTTAGATAGTTTTGACAATGACAGGCCACAGGTCAGAGCTCCCAAATTCTTACCTCCTGTCAAGGTACCTCCACGCCCATTACTAGATTTATATTTACACTTCTCAGTGCCCAGAATATGCTTTTTATCCTGCTAACTGGAATTTGCTGATTGATGGACTTGTATTCTTAGGTTTACTATCACTTCTGGTTAAATTATAGCAGTGGAGTAAAGTGGGTAATGGGAAAATCAAGTTTGATTCCTAGGTTTTTGGCTTGAGCAAAAGAGTGAATAGAGGTAGACTAGACAGATGGAGACCACTGGAAGACGAAGGAGCAAGGGGAGGATTTCAGGCAAAAGAGAGCATGTTGGAAGGGTTTCAGATGAAGGAGTATGGCATCTTTGAGGTAATTACGCTCTCTGGAGTAATGTCTCACCCTAGGAAGTGGGATGTAGGCAACTGAGGAAATTTAAGAATGAAGTTCCAAAGAGGCCCCTGAGGTATCATAACTGCAAAGCACAATGGGATTCCCACATCTGAAAATGTAATCTCAACGATTCTTTTCATTCATTCAGTAATACTATTGCCAGGTGCTAGGATATTCAGTAGTAGTAGCCTGTGGGTACAGTTAACATACAGGAATCAAACCATTAAGCAATGAAGACTAAAGCAGATTAGTTACCAAAGCAATGGCTTTGGAATTAGACTTACCTATGTACTTTGCTGTTTACTAGCTGTGTGACTTTGGAAATTTTACTTAGCCTCTCTAGTTTCCTCATCTGTACAATGGTTAACAGTAGCATGAAAATTAAATAAGATAATGTAAAAGGTACTGGTCATATATTAAGTGCCAAAAAATTACTATAAACACCAATATAAAAACCAGTGAACATATAAGTGTTTGGCATAAAATCGAAAAAAGGGAACTAAGGAGCAAGCAGTTAGCAGTGCAGGACTAGCATTGTCCAGGGGAGTACCCTGGATTTGGAGAGCTTAAATATGAATTTGAGAGACCATCAGGAATCCTAGACTGGTAGGAATTGCCTCCCCTTAGGCACTCCTTACTGGAGTCATCAAACTGTGACATCTGTCTCTTTTTGCTAACATTTGTATCCTAATGGTATCACATCTTACACTCCCTTCAAAAATTCAAGTGCATGGAGGAATGAGTGTTTAATCCCAGACTGGAAGGATGATTTCAAGCAGATGGTGCACTGTACAAGTCAAAGAAACACTGGAATTTTTCATTTTGCTGATGGATCTCATTCACTCTTCACTTTTAGAAAATGGTTAACCTCTTATATTTGTATTCCATCCATGTTTATAAATTTACAACTTGGGCATAATGACAGTGTCTGTCTTTCTTTCCTGCACTTGCTCATTTACAAATCTCCACTCCATCTAACCATTGTCCTTCCTGGGCGCAGTTTGACTCGACGCTTTGGTTTGAACGGGCCAGGGTTCTAAATGCTGCCTTTACTTGCTTACTGAGTCTGCAGTTTCTGGCACTAAAATTACAAAAAGTACGAACTTCATGGGATTGTCGTGAAGATTAATGAGATAAGGTCAGTTTAAGTACTCCATAGCTGGTAACTGCTATTTCGGAGTTTAGCAGGAAACTCCCCTTATCGTGAACAAATTTCCCTAACATTTTTACTGTTTCAACATGTCAAATATGCCCCTGGCAAACTCCGGGCACTGTAAGCTCTTTGAATCTTGACCTTATTTCTAAGGCTTTTCTTCCTCTTTTAGCCCATTGGTACAGATACGTCCTGCTTACTTATACACTCGAGGCGCAATTGGGAGGCGCTGGGAGTAGTGAAGGGGGAACACTGGCCAAGTTGAAGCCCCAAAGGGAAAGGACTGGCTGGACTGCGGGCATAGATATGAAATTCGGGCCCCGCAGGGTCCCCGACTTGTGATTTGGAAGAAGAGAGAGAGGTGAAGATGGGTGGTAAAACGGCAAGGGTCAAGGGAGGAGGCAAATGGTGTGCACACGGGACAGTGGCGATGAGAAGGAAACCAATTTAGACCCTAGGTCCACTTGGGCAATGAAAGGACATTGCCCATCCTCTCTCAATCCGTCCTTGGAGAAAGACGAACGCCAAAGGAGGCCCCAACTTCACACCGCTCCCGAGTCCGGCTCCCCAGCGGCCCTGGAGAACCCACGATCGAGAGGAGACCTCCGAGCTGCCTAGACGGGACCCGGAAGTGCGCGCCGGGGAGCCCGAGTTTCCAGTCCTGCCCCGGGGGCCGAGGTGGCCGTCGTTGCGGAACGGCTGCGCGAGTGAGTGTCGGGGCTCCGGGCCGGGGCTCCGGGTCTGCGCCGTGGCTGGGGGAAGCTCGGACTGCGGCGGGGGGCTCGGGCCGAAGGGATGCCCGTGGTGCGGGGTTGGGGCTGCAGGCCTGGCCGCGCCCCCGGGCCGGGGCCCAGCCGGCCTGGGGAGAGTGAATTGGGAGCCTCTCCCGGGAAACCTGCCGTTTTCCCTGCATCTGCCCTCTTCTCCCTCCCTTTTCTGAAGTGACTGCCCGTCCGTTGTGTCGCGCTCTGAAGACATTTTAGGGGAAGTCTTGGCCTTGGAGTAGCACCGGGGATTGGACCCAGCCCATGGAGAAGCTGCCTGAGCAGATGTCCCCGGAGTCCCTGTGCCCATCCTCCGAGCAGGAGCCTCGAAAGAGCAAGGGTGAGGAGCTGACCTAGCTGGCTTTCTTTGTCTAAACTTAGTCCTTCCGACCCGCGGCCTCAGATCAGATGGACACGATTGTCCTGTGAAAAACTACTGCTTTTTTTTTTTTTTTTTTTTTTTAACCAAAGGCTCTATTACCTGTAAATAAAGCCTGTAACCAACGTTTTCTCTCTGTGTGGAGCAGATCTGCCGCAGCAGCACTATCCTAGCATAAGTCTTGGAGGATCTGTCATTCCAGCACCTGCTAACTTGCTTGGCCTTTGGAGAAGCTCACTAAATGTGTGAATAAAGAAATGAATGAACCCAGCCAAGTATGTCCCATACTGCAAATAACCAGTTAAGGAGCGGGCTCCTCCACTCATTCTACCCAAGCTCTCCTTCATCGTTAGGGAAAATACATTTACCACCCGAGGTATTAACTCCAAGAGGGTGCCTTTCCTGTGGAGTACAGTAGATAAGACAGCCACTTACTGATGGAAAATGAGGTTAAGCTATAGGTATTAACATTTTTATTTCAATCTGCTATCCCCTCATTATCTGGTGTATGTCTGGCTATTAAAAAAATGGATATGGATGATTTAATTGGAGACATAGATAATCCACATCAGGGGCTCTGAGATGGCTTATGTTTGGGGAGATTTTCTTTTACAGATTTATGTGTAAAAACTATGTTTTCGGGCTAATTTTTAATTTGGCAAGTATTTATTGAGCTTTTATTGTGAGGTGTTGAGACTAAGTTGAAAGAAAACCCAACCCCTACTCACCCACAAACTTAAGAGTTGAGTTCGGGGGCGCCTGGGTGGCTCAGTCGGTTAAGCGTCCGACTTCAGCTCAGGTCACGATCTCACGGTCCGGTCCGTGAGTTCGAGCCCCGCTTCGGTCTCTGGGCTGACAGCTCAGAGCCTGGAGCCTGTTTCAGATTCTGTGTCTCCCTCTCTCTCTGCCCCTCCCCCGTTCATGCTCTGTCTCTCTCTGTCTCAAAAATAAATAAACGTTAAAAAAAATTAAAAAAAAAAAAAAGAGTTGAGTTAGAATAGTTAACTGAGAGGCTGTGGGTTAGTAAACAAGGTAGAAGTTCACAAGGGACATCCCTGGGAACTGGGTATTGGCCCAGGAAACCTTAGAAAGTCACAGGTTTGGCCTGGAAAGAATTTAAAGTTCAAGGAATCAAATTTTAGATGAGAGGGGATAGACACCACAGGCTCCCTGTTGTTAGTCTTTCTAAAAGGCCAAGTACCTGTACTCACCTTATTAAAACACTCATTTACTCCTGTTAGTTCACAGCGCCCACTGCATCCAGTCCATACTCCATAACTTGGCATTCAAGGCCCTCTGCAGGGTGGCCTCAACTCAACTTGAGAGTCTTTCCTTAGTGTTCCCCAAAATAAACCGAGCAAGACTGGTGTGTCTACACAAGGTAATGCTGAAGACACTTCGCACTATCTACTGTTGTGCCTCTGTGTCTTTTTCTTAATGCATTGCTGTCCACTACATTCTCTGCCTATCCAAACGCCACTCATCCCAGCGTCCCATGCAAGACAGCCTCCTCCATGAAGTTTCTGAAATAAACAGTTGTAAGCGACATTTACATGAAAACCTGCAGGACTTGGTGGCTGATTGAGCATTAGGGGGAAACTGGGTATAATTGCCTTTGTTCCCTTCACTGTCATACCTCTTTAAAAAAAATCTTCATGAGTTGCTATTATCTTTGGAATGCAGGGCACTGCTTCTGCTCCATCAGAACTGATTACACCCAGGTTGCCAGTGGCTTACCTATAATGAATCCATTGGACACATTTTTTTCAGCTTTAATTTTTTGACCCCTTAGTATTTTCTGTTGATGTGATCATTCTTCCTCACACCTCTTGTTCTTTGGTTTCAGAAGCATCATTTTCTTCTTGTTTTCCTCTTGCCTTCTCCGGGCCTTTCCCACTCCTGTTTCTCCACCTGTTTTTAAATGTTGATTTTCCCTAAGACTGTTCTCAGCCCTCTTTTTTCACTCTTGTGCGTGATCCTGTCCCCTTCCAGGACAAAACTTGGGAGTCATACTCTACTATTCTCCTTCCCTCCATATTCAGTCAGCCACCACATCCTGTCAGTTTTTCTTCAAAAAGTGCCTGATTCAGTTGTCTGTCACTGCCATTTCCTCATTTTAGTCCCGTCCTATTTTTCTTGGATTGTTGATACATCACTATGCTATTGGTCATGCCCCTCACTCTAGGCTCTCCTCTATACTGCTGCCAGAAGAATTTCCCTGGGAACAAATTTGATCATGTTAGTCTTTGCCTATCAAATAAAGTGCAAAGCCCTGGGTGTGGCTTATATGCCTCTTCATAGGTGGCTCTACTCTACTTTTTCACTATATCTCCTGCTTCCTGCCCACATGGAGCATACATTTCAGTCATATTGAATTTTTTTTTCACTATTCCTTAAACTTAGTGTTCCTTTTTAAGTTGCTGAGCCTTAGCATATGCTATTACTTGTTTCTGGAATACTCTTTACCTTGTATATCCTGATCATAGTCAAGATCCCGCTCCAAGTCATTCTTTGAGGATGCCATCTCCAATCACCTAGGTAGGGGTTGTCCTTCCTAATTCTGCTTTGAGGCAGCATTATAATCCTTCTACCAGTATCCTGCACATAGTGGGTGGTCTATATGTTTTTGATTGGTTAAATCAAACAGGAAGTGTATTCATTTCCTAGGGTTGCCGTAACAAATTACCACAACTGCATGGCTTAATACAGCAGAACTATATTCTCACCATTTTGTAAGCTAGAAGTCCAAGAGGGCCTGTCTACCTCTGAAGGTTCTAGAGAGGAATCCGTCTTTGACTGATCCTAGCTTCTGGTGGTCCCCAGCAATTCTTGGGGCTCCTTGGCTTATGGCTGTATCATTCAATCTCTGTCTCTGTTGTCACATGACCTTCTTTTCTGTGTTTCCATATCTGAATCTTCCTCTTCTTTCTCTTATAAAGATATCAGTCATTGGATTTAGCCCCAACCCCCCAATCCATTATGACCTCATCTGAACTCTGCAAAGACTCTGCTTCCAAATAAGGTCACATTCTGAGATTCCAGGTAGACATGAGTGGGGGGGGGGGGG